CCTGAGAGGTGGTAGAAGATGGAGTGTCTCCATGCTGCTTTGTTTTGGTCACTTATGTGCGTGAGGCGAGTGGTGTTACGGGTTAAACCAAACTCAGGTGATATTTTACACTAAACCGAAAACCCACAACACTCTAAATGTAATAAAAGGGAGATCTACACCACAAAAAAGATGAACTCTGAACCAAAACGTAACAGCTTATCCCAACGCAAGAAGCTGTTAGCGAAGATGCTAACAGTAGCTTTACCAACGTTAAGTTCAAGTTACCAAGTTTAAATAAACCAAAAACACCCAGCAGCAAATAGACCAGCACGGAGGAGAGACTGCTACCACCAAAACAGCTCTCCTCATGTCTGAAAGAAGCTCCTTAATGAAGGGAGAAGCGCTCCCGGTGATTTTCTACATCTGCGATAGACACGAAGCAGAGCATCTGACCCCGGAAGTTGTTGTCCGTTGCCGGGAGACGAAGGGGCAAAACAGGAAAATAATCTAGTAGTGGACGGACGTTGTTCCGGGTCTTCGGTATTTGGCGGAGATGTTAGTGAAGGCGGAGAAGAGGGCGAACTAGAGGAAAAACGGGCAGATTCCTCCTCTATTTACAAACTCCTGGGGATGCAACAAGTGGGCGCGGTGCGTCGACTTCCGGATCTGACGTCGACAAATTTTTAGAATCGAGCCGTCGACTTCGTCGAGGCTTCGCTACAGCCCTACCACCTGGTGGCACTTCCTGGCCTGCCCACAACCAAGCAGACGGCCGAAATCCTCCTGGAGCAGGTGGTGCGTCTCCATGGTATCCCCCAGGACATAGTCTCGGATCGGGGACCCCAGTTTATGTCCAGATTCTGGAAAGCTTTCTGTCAGCTGGTTGGTGCCAATAGTAGCCTCTCCTCTGGTTACCACCCACAAACCAATGGGCAGACTGAGCGTGCCAATCAGCAACTTGGTCGGTACCTCCGCTGCTTTGCCTCATCCCAACCAACCACTTGGCCCAAATACCTCTTGTGGGCAGAGATGTCCCACAACCTCCACGTCTCCTCGGCCACTGGTCTCTCCCCGTTCGAGCTCTGCTACGGATACCAGCCCCCTCTCTTTCGCCACCAGGAACCTGAGACTGAGGTCCCCACTGCCCAGACCCTGGTTCGGTGTTGCCGCCTCGCCTGGATCCGTGCTCGGGCAGCCATCTAGCGAGCTAACACGGAATACAATCGCCAGCACAAACGCCGCCATCGGACAGGGCCGACTTTCCAACCTGGCGACAGGGTATGGGTGTCTACCCGGAACAGGCGCCTGCCCGCTGGCTCCCGGAAGCTCGCTGCACGATTTCTGGGGCCCTAGCCAGTAGGGAAGGTCATTAACCCGGTGGCGTATCGCAACCCCCTGCCCAGGCCTCTCAAAGTACATCCCGTCGTCCATGTGTCCCAGCTGAGGCCTGTACGGACTTCTCCCCTCGCTCCTCCTCCGGATCCCGAGCCTCCGCCTCGAGGGTTTGGCGAGGATGGGATTTTCACCATGCGGCGTCTGCTGGACGCCCGTCACCGTGGCAGAGGTTGGCAGTACCTGGTGGATTGGGCGGATTACGGTCCGGAGGAACGCTCCTGGGAGCCGACGAGCGCAATCTTGGACCCCTCCCTCATCTCGGATTTCTGGGCCCGCCGCCCTGGGACTTCTGGGGCCGTCCCTAAGGTGGGGGGTCCTGTCATGCTGCCTCCTTCACAGCCCACAACATCCTCCCCCGGAGGATCCCACACACACTCAGCCCAACCGAACTCCACTACCCAGCATTACCAGCGCCAGCCTTCCGGCCCACGTCACCCGCCACGTCTACATAAGGAAGTACAGCTGTTACTACACCAACATGTGTTGTTATAATGTGATAAAAGTGTGACAGCTGTTATTACACCATCATAAGTAAATAGTAAATGGCCTGTATGGCACATTTTTAGGGTTCTACAACCCCTCGAGGCACTTCACAACACAATCAGTCATTCACTCATTCATATATTACACAATATATATAATATTCCTACATGGTACTACTGTAGATCATTTTTTAATGTATATATTGTATATCATATTTCTATTTCACCTGTTCCTTTGTCTCTCTGACTGCTTTGAGCATGTACATGACACAAGAATTTCCCTCGGGATAAATAAAGTTGTTCTTATCTTATCTCAAATACACTTTCATACACTGGTGGGGATGAGCTACGATGTAGCCACAGCTGCCCTGGGGCACACTGACAGAGGCGAGGCCTGATCTGCGTTTTAGGTTTTTATTCAAACCTATTAAAAAGGTTTTCTGACCATCTGTACAGAAGTGCTGCAGCTGCTGTTTGTCTGGCATCCAACAGGTGGCGCTGTTCCTCCCCTGAGCTTTGGGCTGAGTTTAGTCCAAAACTGGAGAAAACCTCATCGTGGACACTTCCACTTCAGCTGGACTGAAACATCATCCGCCTACGAGACAGACGCGTGTGAATGACAACCACACACGAAACATACAAACAAGTAAATAAATACTCACAGTTACGCCCCTTAAGCGTAGTGCTCTCTCATCGTGGTGTGCGATAACCTGAAGCTGCTCAGACTTCTTCTGACTCTTTCTATCTCCAGATGTCTCCATCAACATCTAAAACTGAGAACAAGAACAGGCCGGACTAAATAATGAACAACCTTGTGTGGAGAGAGCGACAGCACAGATGTATAATCCTGATCTGAACACCAAAAATACTCGTGTAGTGTTACAGCAATACATCTAATGACTAGTCAGTCTGTATTTGTGTAAATAGAGAATCTGCAGCAGTCAAGTGTGTTTGCTGCTTTTGACTTTGATTTGAGCTCCCTCTGCTGGACGCACGGTTGTATTACGCTCTGATTCAGCTTTGTGAGAAACGACTGCAGCTGCAGCAGCTCCACGGTCTCGAGTCTAAACATTTCAGAGTTAAATAGGTAGTCTCCTTCTGCTGGGAGCCTTTTTGAACTCACTTCACATTCAAATGTAGAAGCAACAGAACAAGCCACGTCCTCTTACACAACGTGTGCTCTTTGGAGCGAGTGTTTCCCATCCCCCCCAAACGCACACACACACTCATGTCTCACACACACACCAGCAACGGCACGCCTACTGCATTTATGTTGCAGGACAGGCAGCGTAGTCATTGTAAACAACAGGAGGAGGTCTTTGATAGAAGGACACAGGGCTTTGAGCTCCTCGCTAAAATTCACGTCACGTGTTAAGAACTTCGGCGGGGAAAAAAATGAAGTTGCTGCATTGGCCGGGAATCGAACCCGGGCCTCCCGCGTGGCAGGCGAGAATTCTACCACTGAACCACCAATGCTGCTTGTGCTGAAGGAGCAACACTTCTGATTTTATACCTTCATGTCTTCTTCCTTCTGTGCTAACGTCAGGACGTAGGTTAAACGCTGGTTCCTCTTGTCTTCGGTGTGTAGAAGAGGCAGGAAGTTCTCCTGCATGCAGCTAGCATGCTGGGGGTCCAACCAGGGGCCACCGCTGACCGGTTTGGGTTCCTCTGGTGTTTGGGACAAAGTGAGGACCACCTGGACACAAAAAAACCACACAGGAAATGAAGTTGGAGGTGCTTGTTCATACTGTCATCACCTCTTCCTACACACACACACACACACACACACACACACACACACACACACACACACACACACACACACACACACACACACACACACACACACACACACACACACACACACACACACACACACACACACACACCTGCTCCAGCATACAGTTCATGACAAAGGGTACAGTGCAGGCTTCAGGGGGAACCTGGTCCAGTAGGTTGCTATAGTAACCCCTGTCCACACAGAGAGGAGGCAGCTTGCTCTCTGTCCACACAGGAAAAAGATATTCAGGTTTTACTGAATCAATTGTTGGGACAAAACTTAAGAGTGGCAGTAAAGAAGAGCAAAAGATGCAGAACGAGATCAGAGAGGTGAGGCTCACCAGGTTCTGGTGGGGCTGGTTCCCTGTTCATCTTCTTGGTGCGTTGGGTCGGCAGAACGGTCGACTCTAACGAGGCCTGATGAGTGGTTTTAATGAACTGGAACAAACAGAAGCTCGTGTTACTTTTGGATTCAGTATTTGTTACAGATCAGCCTCAGGTCATCAGGATGATTCTATATGAGCTGTGTGTGTGTGTGTGTGTGTGTGTGTGTGCACGTGTGGGGGGGGGGGCTCTTAAGCAGCTTATGATGAACCTGAGTTGCATCAGGGGTCCGCAGCAGAGTGGCGCAGCGGAAGCGTGCTGGGCCCATAACCCAGAGGTCGATGGATCGAAACCATCCTCTGCTAAAGTTGGTATTTTTAAGGTAAAATGATCTTTTTAAATAGACATTTGAGCTGAATAAAAGACACCAAATCTAAATGAAAAATATACAAAAATAAATGGTTCAAATATGACAACAACTACAACCTACCCCTGTTTACAGGTTTACTACCGTCACGGTAACAAATAAAAACACTCTTTTAGGGTTACAGGACATAAGAAAAACTAGCAAATATTTACCAGGTTCTAAAATTAGTCAAATCTAACGTCATTTATAGAGAAAACATAGCAGTTTCTCCACGTTGGGTCAACATTCGCTAAACAAAAACCAAAAATAAAAATGGAAAAGCACCCCGTTGTTAAGCTCTGGGCTCTGATCGTTCTCCTGGGTTCTGGCCACAGCTGTCAGGTCTATAGGAGAGTTCACGGTCAACCCAAACCACCAGCCCTCAGCCGCCATGCTGACAGCTGGTGCTGGAGCTGAGCATTATGGGTAAACATCTCTACTTAAGGGAAACAACCTTTAATCCTCCTCAGAGGGAAGAACAGCATCAGTTAGATCAAAGGAAACTGCTGTTATCGACGAGCTCACAGCTGGCTTACCTCTGACATCCACTAGGGGGCACACTTTAGGTTAGATCTGGATAATTAAGAACTGAGTGAACCCTCGTAGGGTTAGGGACTTTCTAACATGTTCACCTGTTCAGGCTGGGAGTCCCGTCCAACACAGGGGACACTCAGAAGCTTGACATCGTCCCTGTAATGCTGATACTGTCTACGCCAGTCCAGACAGTCGTAGATGAGATTAGCCACGCCTCTAAAGACTCTGCTTCCCAGGTTCAACTGAAAACATGAAACCCACAAACGCGATGAAGAAAAATGACTTTTTAATGCAAAGTTCTAGAAATCCATCCTAAGAAGAGATCTATGAACTCATATGTGAGGCTCTTCTCACCACTGCATCAGAGTCGTGTGTTTGAAGAGAGGATGCGAGATCTGGGACAGTACAGCTGAACCACATCATGGAGCCTGGAGTCTGGTGGCCCGCTGTCTAAAGCTACTTTTAGACCTGACCAGAACCGCTTCACCTTTAGAGTGACCTCTAAACACCAGAGTGAATGAGAACATCAGATCTGTACAGGTGTATGAAGCCAAAAGTAGTGAAGAGTCTTAACCTGCATCCAGAACTTGAGGAGCTCTTGACCATGTTAGCTTAAACTCGTGTGCTAGCATTACAATACAGTACGGATTACTATCGTGTACCAGACAATTAAAATAGTGTCAGTCAGTTAATATAATATTAATACTAATGAGTAGGGACGTCCTAATCAGGTTTTTTTGCCCTCGAGTCTGAGTCCGAGTCATTTGATTTAGAGAATCTGCCGATACCGAGTCCCGATCAGTCTGAAACCACGTGATCGGGGCTGATTTCCGATCATGTGATCGGATCGGGACATCCCTACTAATGAGCGTCCTTCAGCGGTCTCATACTCGCCAATATCCGTTCACCTAACCTAGTTTACCTTAGAGAGAGAGGCGCCTGTGATCCGGCTCT